GTTTAAAGTTATGTCTCTACTGTAAGTATTCAAATTCTGAAACGATCTTAATGTTCACGTCCAGAAGTGTATTTAAGTAGACAGTCAATTCATTCTAGATTTGTTTCACAAATGATTTTTATCCCACTTGCTTGAATAATTATAACTATTTGACTTGGGGGTACAAGTTTCATAGTTGCCTTCCTTTGCCGTGCCAGGATCTGCTGGTTTGGGTTTACAAAATCACATATTTTCTCTGATTATTGGTCTGTTTGACTATGCCAATTGGTGTGTGGAGTTCCAAAGCATTAAACGTCACTTCAGGTTTTCTTGCACATTAATGTGGCACACCTTGATATGACTGAAATAATATACTAAGTGTCTCTACCATGAAGATCTGGGGTAGAATAGGTCTTCAGCAATCCATGCTTGCCATAACAGGCGACTATGCTTGAGCTAAGAGCCGACTAACGGGATCGGGTGGTCAGACTAACTGACTTGGTTGATGCATGTCATCATATCCCAGTTGTGTGGATCAATGCTCATGATGTCAGTCACTGGAAAGTCTGGTCCAGAATTGATTATGTTACCGACCGCCGTCATATGGATGGAATATTGTGGAGTGCGGCATTAAACAACAAACAAACTAAATGGTCTCAAACTAGGTTCACCAACGACTAGGTTTAATTTAAGGTTGTCCTGGGTTCCTCAGAGTATATATGCAAGGGTTAAGTGCCACATGTAGCCAGGACAAGTAGGTAGCAATCGTATGAACCCATCTACCCGCCACAGACATTGCAGGGTCAGCCACAGTCATTACCATATAAGGCATGTAGGTCAACATGAAGCAACCAAGGATCAACACAATCATCCGTAATAACCTCACTTCCTGTGAGGAGAATGCTGCACTTGGCATCTGCTCCTTCGACTTGGCGTCTGCCTCTTCCTTGAAATTAGCTATCTTCTGCTTGGATTTCTTGTAGGTGTAAAAGATTGACGCATAACTCCAGAAAATAATTGGAACAGATGTCACCAGAAGGATTCCACACATGAACAGAACGTAATTGTCGTTGCGGATAACGGCACAGTATTTTTTGTCCAAGTTGTAACCGAACTGCCCCCATATTTCAGCCAGTGGGAGGATGAGGAGCAAGGAGTAAAATGTCCAGCTGAAAATTATCATCACTGAATTGTTTAGGCGGTTGTCATAGATGGTCATGTAGGTCACTGGGTGCACGACCTTGAAGTAGCGGTTGAGGGTCAGAAGGATGAGGGCGTTGATCTCCGCACAGACGTTGGCATACATGAGATAGGCAAAGACTTTACAGAAGGTGTTGCCATATATCCATCCATTGAAGAAGGAGTTGACGGCGAGGAGTGGCAGCAGGATGGAGGAGCTGAGAAGGTTGTTGATGCAGAGGTTCAGGAGGTAAAGGTTACAGGTCAACTGCTTCGTGCGCTTCCGTGTCAGTTTGTAGATGGTGAAACTGTTTCCTATGATCCCGCTGACAGCAATGGTGAGAGAGCAGACTGAGTGTGTCACTCGGAGACCAGTTGACAGTGTGTCCTGTGTCAGGGTCGAGTTCACTGTGGTGACCATCTTGTTTCTGGAAGGGAATTAAGGGAATCATAAAGCTCTGAGGACTTACATTACCAATACCAGATTGCCGATGTCTTACTTCCACGACCATAACCGAGGAGGAGTGCTCTACCTCACTTATAAACCGTCTAAATGCAAGAAATAACAGAAAAAATAAGAAAACATTGAAATGTCTCGTGAAACAATAGTGTGTCGCAGTATAAAAGGAATGCAACCAAAGCGTGTAAGAGAAGAAACACGTGCAGCATAGACAAAACTAAGTCATGACATCTAAAACAGAACATTCTTTCCCCTCCTGCCCCGGTGGCCCAGTGGGAAAACAGTGGGTTACAAAACTGAACATGATATGTGGGGTTGAAGGTTCGATTCCCGTCAAACATAATTAAAAAGTTCCAATTCTTCTCTTCCATTTTAGAACATGTTTGAAATCCAAATCCATCTGCTAATCAAATCAGCAGGTCTTACAAACAAAGAGGAGGATCTCATACAAGGTCTGACTAGGAAAAAGTAAAACCTCATCCCCGAGATGAGGTCTTACTTGGAAAAAGTAAAAACTTCCAAGAGGTTATTCTGAGATAGAAAGATATAGACAATACAAGGGCAAAAGTGACAGTAGGTTTATAATGAAGAGTCAGGCAACATCACTGATATGTTTAGATGATTGCATGTTGTTTGGTCATGAGTTCACAGTGGTGGCACCACCTCCGTGGTCCAGTGGTAGAGCGTCTGCCCAGAGAGAGGAAGGTCGGGGTTCGATCCCCGGCCGCGTCATACCAAAAGACGATAAAAGATGGTACTTGTTGTTACCCTGTCTGGCACTCGGCATTAAGGGGCTAAAACAAGCACTGGTTGGCTTGGAGTCACTATATTGTGTCTGAGTGGGGTATTCATGTTAAACTGCGGCATGGTATCTCAGTGGGCTAGCACTATAAATCGGCATCAGTCCGAACTAGTACAAGCAGCCACACACACACACACGTGCATGCACGTCGCTATATAAGTGCAATTATCTTTGGACGCGACGTTAAACCCCATTTCACCTCGCCTCACAGCTGTGGCCAGTTGTTTCAGAAGGGATTGTGATGAAGGGTTGAGCTATTTCACTGAAATGTTTAGATGATAAGTAATGTTTCATATGAATTAGAATTCATGTTGTTTCTTGATGGAATGTGATGAAGGGTTATATCACTGAAACTTTAAAATGTTTCAATGCTTGACATCAAAACAGTCGTAACTGATGGGACAATAACGGTACAATGTTAGCATGTGTGGTCATCATGAAAATGGGTTTGAACTTACGTTTAAAGTTTTTTTTCTAAATTTAAAACTGTTCAGATATATGACAGAACCAATACAGATGATAACAAAAACAGTGCAATAATGATTCAAATGCATTTTGGAACCCGTGAAGATCCGGGGTAGAATAGGTCTTTAGCAACCCATGCTTGCCGTAAAAGGCGACTATGCTTGTCATAAGAGGCAACCAACGGGATCGGATGGTCAGGCTCACTGACTTGGTTGATATATTCCAATTGCGTGGATCGATGTTCATGATGTCAATCACTGGATTGTCTGGTCCAGACTGGATTATTTAGAGACTGCCATCATATAGCTGGACTATTGTCCGAGTGCAGCATTAATCAACAAACAAAACAAACAAACAAATACAGCAACACAAGTTGTCTCACCTTGGCTTCTGTCCGTGTCAGTGGATGTTCTGCAACTGAAAGTCTTGCCCTGCTGCACACAACTTCCATCACAAGTGTTGTCACTGACGACAACAAAATCTTTCATCTTTCCATACTCATCCTTTGATTCAGTTGTGTCAGGAACATATTTCTGGTCATTTCCTCCGTGGACTTGTGTTGAAAGTCCCCTTGACCCACTCACCCAGACCAGAATAAACTTTTTTCATTGATGTCTCCTTGAGAACCCATTAGCAAGATAGAGGTGGATCATTCGTACTGATGAATCTGGATTCTTTTATATTGTTATATCTATATCTCCTTGACCAAGAAATATATGAAAAGATATTCGATTTCTTCCATATTGCAGTATTCTTCAGAATACGTGCAGTGGGTAGCCTAGTGGTTAAGGCGTTTGCTCATCACACCGCAGGCCCAGGTTTGATGTCCCACATGGGTACAGTGTGTGAAGCCCATTTCTGGTGTCCCCCACTGTGATATTGCTGGAATATTGCTAAAAGTGGCATAAAACCATACTCAATCAATCTTTAGAATACTCAGTGAATAAGAACTTCATGTCGATTCAGAATATGATGGAGGCTTGGCACAAGCTGTCTCAGACAATGTCCTGTGACATATGTTTAGGTGTTCTTTACTTGTCTTTTCCTAATTTACAAATAGAGTAACACTTAAGTCAGGCAAGTTGGCAAGCCTCCAAGTTTAAATATTTACCAAGTAGCCATATGACTACAAGTATTTTTTTCCAGGTAGCCAGTGGTAAAATCTGTAAATGTCAAGCCAATATTGTAGGTAGCCAAAAGCAATGATCTTTTATCAAATAACTATTATATATGTACAAGTCATAGCACTAATCTTGGAATCGTATATTAGTGGAAACTGTACCTGAGTTTTGTTATTTGTGACTCTAACAATGATGCAATTTATGTTACTAGATTATATAGGTATATCCCTGCTTATCCAATAAATTATCCACTAAAATAAAATACTAATTTCATCAATATTTATGTATTTCGGTTCATTGTTGACTTTAGAAGGCGTTGTTTGTGAGTACAATTAGTAGCAGACAATTGTGTCTACATATGTGTAGCAATAGAAGATAGCCACAAGATATTTTTCAAGGTAGTCAATTGGCTACCTCTGAATTATAGACAGTACACAAATTGAAACTTAGGTCGCATTGGCAGCCGTTTTAGTCACAACTTTGAGGCCTGGTTGGTATTCAAAGTTATATTGTCCTTGGTCATGTTTACAGATCAAATCCAAGACTTGGGTCAATGTTTTCCCCTGTCCGTCTGCCCATTAGTTCAGGGCAGTTGTGTAAGTACCACATTCAGTATGGCTTTCCGAAACAATTACTGGAGTGATCTAGCTCTCCACATTTGCCATAACAATCTGTGTACTGGGAGCTGTGAGGGACAATCAAACAAAGCTGCTTCACTGTGTTGTGTTACATCCATTAATAAACATCTAACAGTATTGACCGGGTACAAGCGCTCCTTATCTTCCAGGAAAGCCATCAGCCCTGTTTGAACATCTGGATTTGGCCATCAATACATCAATTCGTCATGATTTACAAAATCATGCATGAGCTACAGTATTGTTAGCTAACCTGGCCCTAATAACACTACACATGATTTGTTATTTCCAGGATTAATGGGTGAAATAGGATTGCATGATGTATGAGTTGTAGGTAATGTGTTCGCCCTCTGTTTCAGTTCCGCATGCCAACCTGTATATTCTGCTGAACCCAGTGAGGCTCACCCTGGACTTTCTAACCCTGCTCTGGACCAACTACTTCATGCTCAGTCTCTCACAGAATCTGGTAAGCTGGTCCTCTAGGACCCCATCTTCCCGAGGCAAGCGTGTCCACTAGCCTATATCAAAGCCTAGTTTCTACCCTTGCCACATCAAGGCCACTTTTCTTGGTTTGACCCTGGCGCCACCTTGCGTAGATCACAAGTTGTGCCCCTTGTAATGAAAACATGATATCTAGCCAGATAGCTGTTCTTGTCTCGTATAGCTTCACAAAGATGGCGACTACCTAGTCGATCCGATAAAGAAAACATTCCCGATTTCATCACACAAAAACACAGGCAATCGTTTAGGGGTTTTGAAGATGAAAAAGAGATATTCACGTAAACAAAGACAGGCAGCGGTTAATCACTTTCATACGAAGGTGTACCAGTCGTGGATGTTGATTTTGTGAAACGTTCTCTGATTGGACTATCGATATGTGAGATAGTCCAATCATATTTAGTACAGGAAAGTGGGCTTGATGACGCAAGGGTGGAAACAAGACTTTGAAAAACAGGCTAGTGGACGTTCTTGCCTCAGGAAGATGCTAGGATCCATTCTTGTAAAGTATTGGAGTGCCCTGTGTGTAATCCAAGACACCCAGCCACAACTTTGGTTTCAGGAGACTGCATGTGCTCACATTAAGAATTGAACATCATTTACATTGTCAATTAACTGAGGAACATAGGGTCCTCTTCTGACCAGAGGATCATTGGATGGCATCCTTTCCTTGTTCACTTATGATAGGGATGACCTCTTTGATGACATGGACAAGTTGTCCTCTTCCTGATCAGAAATTAAATGTATGAAATCCTTACCTTGATAGTTTATGACATGGACAAGTTGTCAACTTCCTGATCAGAAGTCCAATGGATGACATCCCTAGCTTGATAGCTTATGATAGGTATGACCTCTCTGATGACATGGACAAGTTGTCCTCTTCCTGATCAGAAATTAAATGTATGACATCCTTACCTTGATAGCTTATGATAAGGATGACCTCTCTGATGACATGGACAAGTTGTCCTCTTCCTGATCAGAAATTAAATGTATGACATCCTTACCTTGATAGCTTATGATAGGGATGACCTCTCTGATGACATGGACAAGTTGTCCTCTTCCTGATCAGAAATTAAATGTATGACATCCTTGCCTTGATAGCTTATGATAGGGATGACCTCTTTGATGACATGGACAAGTTGACCTCTTCCTGATCAGAAATTAAATGTATGACATCCTTACCTTGATAGCTTATGATAGGGATGACCTCTCTGATGACATGGACAAGTTGTCCTCTTCCTGATCAGAAATTAAATGTATGACATCCTTGCCTTGATAGCTTATGATAGGGATGACCTCTTTGATGACATGGACAAGTTGACCTCTTCCTGATCAGAAATTAAATGTATGACATCCTTACCTTGATAGCTTATGATAGGGATGACCTCTTTGGTGACATGGACAAGCTGTCCTCTTCCTGATCAGAAATTAAATGTATGACATCCTTACCTTGATAGCTTATGATAGGGATGACCTCTTTGATGACATGGACAAGTTGTCCTCTTCCTGATCAGAAATTAAATGTATGACATCCATGCCTTGATAGCTTATGATAGGGATGACCTCTTTGATGACATGGACAAGAAGTCCTCTTCCTGATCAGAAATTAAATGTATGACATCCTTACCTTGATAGCTTATGATAAGGGTGACCTCTTTGGTGACATGGACAAGTTGTCCTCTTCCTGATCAGAAATTGAATGTATGACATCCTTACCTTGATAGCTTATGATAAGGGTGACCTCTTTGGTGACATGGACAAGTTGTCCTCTTCCTGATCAGAAATTAAATGTATGACATCCTTGCCTTGATAGCTTATGATAGGGATGACCTCTTTGATGACATGGACAAGTTGACCTCTTCCTGATCAGAAATTAAATGTATGACATCCTTACCTTGATAGCTTATGATAGGGATGACCTCTTTGGTGACATGGACAAGCTGTCCTCTTCCTGATCAGAAATTAAATGTATGACATCCTTACCTTGATAGCTTATGATAGGGATGACCTCTTTGATGACATGGACAAGTTGTCCTCTTCCTGATCAGAAATTAAATGTATGACATCCATGCCTTGATAGCTTATGATAGGGATGACCTCTCTGATGACATGGACAAGTTGTCCTCTTCCTGATCAGAAATTGAATGTATGACATCCTTACCTTGATAGCTTATGATAGGGATGACCTCTTTGATGACATGGACAAGTTGTCCTCTTCCTGATCAGAAGTCCAATGGATGACATCCCTAACTTGATAGCATATGATAGGTATAAACTCATTGGTCATCTGGTCAAAGTACACTGTTCCTGATCAAAACATCCACTGATCAGCTGTCAGCCTACTATCAAGGATAACCAAGTGGCACCTCCCCAGAACAAGGTTGGAGCCAGAGCCACATCTTGGGAAACAGAACAACAAACAAGAACTATAAAACCCAATTGATCCTGGATTTTGTTTTTGACATGTTATAAAGGTGTCGTTGGGGGAAGTTAATACAATCTATTCACTTTCACTGTTAGCAGGTTATATATAGTGTTTGGTGTGCATGCTCTTCTTAAAGATTGATAATAAAAAAGGACCTTTTGGGGTTTTCCTAATATTGGTGCAATGTTGCAAGACATGCTCCTCCCTCTAGCCTGATGTACTGGTACTTGCAGGAACTGGATGATCAGACTTCTGCCCGGAAAGAACATGTGGACATCAAGGTGGAGGCCGTCATGCCCCGGGTATGTGCAGTCCTTGTTTCAGTCAGGCAGTTATAACTGTACTCTATCAAAGTGGACCCGTGAATCCGGGGTAGAATAGGTCCTAAGCAACCTATGCTTGCTGCAAAAGGCGACTATGCTTGTCTTAAAAGGCGATAAACGGGATCGGGTGGTCAGGCTCGCTGACTTGGTTGATACATGTCATTGATCCCAATTGCATGGATTGATGCTCATGATGTCAATCACTGGATTGTCTGGTCCAGACGCGATTATTTTACAGACCGCCGTCATATAGCTGGAATATGGCTGAGTGCGGCGTTAAACAACAAACAAACAATATATCAAAGCTTTGTAATTTATGAATTAAGTGGGTCAGGGAAAACAAAGTTTTGGTAAGATCATTAGTTCTTTACTTTCTTCACTGAAAACGTTTTAGCTCCCATTGAGCTTGAGTCCTGGGTCGGTCATCTGTCTGTCCACCCATCCAACTGTTAGCACTGACTGCTTCAAGCTAGGAAGCCTATCCTTGCTGTTCTGTAGAATGTCTGGATGGAAAACTAGTGTACAAATGTGACAAACCTAACGCACGTTTGCTTAAATCAGTTTGTCCATGTCCATGTGGTTAAAGCGTTGACTTGTCACACCGGGATTCGATTCCCCACATGGGTACAATGTGTAGAGCCCTTTTTCCGGTGTCCCCCTTCATGATATTGCTGAAATATTGCTGAAAGTGGCGTAAAACCTCACTCACTCACTCACTCACTCACTCACTCACTCACTCACTCACTCACTCACTCACTCACTCACTCACTCACTCACCCACTCACTCACTCACTCACTCACTCACTCACTCACTCACGTGTAAGTATCACTGTTTATGATTATGAGAAATGTTGATGTCAATTCATGTTGACAATGGCTGTCACAGTCTTAGTGTCTCATCACATTAAACACATCGCCCTTCTGAATGTCTTATGCCATTAACAACTTTCCCCTTGTCAATGTCCATGACATTAACCTCTTTCCGCTTGTCTAGCAAACTGTCCTTCGGGATTATTAAGTCCATGAAAACCCATATGTAATGAGTGGAATCTACTGAAACTTTGTGGGAATGATTAGATTACAGTGTTACAGTTCCGCCCACACTAATCCCATCCAGCTAATGTGACACCTGCCCTGGTTTACAGGTCATCATTCCAAATGAGTTCCGAAGTGAAGGTCAGTCAGAGCGCCCCGAGTTTCTCCAGCTCCAGATGTCCAAGATATGTGCCACAAATACCCGTGTTGAGTTGAAGGCCGAGAGATCCGACCTGGCTAAGATATTGGACGTCTACCAGAAGGAGCAACTCCTTCAGTCCAAAGGGTTCCCGCGGGACAATTCCACAACTGCCATCCCACCTCATTTCCGTGCCCATGCTGATGGCAGAGACAACCAGTACTTTGATAAGGGTGTGAAACAGAAGCTGATGGAATTGACAAACCCGGAGTTCCTCGGTGGATCTGTTCCAGTCCATGAGTTGTCCACCAATACTCTGAAGCGGGATGCAGGATGTGATATGTGGTGTGTCCTCATTGATCAGGTGTGGCTGGAGTTCCTCTTGTCCCTCAGCTCCAAGAGTCGACCACAACCTTTCGTTGAAGCATTCCCTTTGGCCCTGTGGATATGTCAGCCACACAGTCTAGAGAAATCCAACTGTGCCAAAGACTCCTTTAAAGATTTTAAATCCAACAATCGTGGTCACAAAGACGTAAATGAAATCAGGCCTGATGAAGGAGATCGAGACAAACGTCCTCAGAGGCTTCTCCTGAAACAATACTACAGCTGTGATTCTGATGATGAAGGTCAAGCTAAAGGTGACGAAGGGGAGACAACTAAGGATCAACCTATCTGTGATAATGACAAAGAGAAACCAGAAGTGAATGCCAATAACTTAAAAGAAGATGTGCAATATTCTGACTGCCATGTCGTGGCATCTGTCGGAGCCAAATTACGAATTCAGCTGAATCACCTTCAGTATGTTCTTCTTATGCGTCTCAACGAGTCTTTTACCAAATTCCAAACACAGATGAGCACTGACCTCTCAAGTCTGGGATCCAGGGATTCTATGAGTGTGTGTGTCCCCCTGGTGTTGCCCCAGATCGAGTTTGCTGCTGTGTGTCCCTGTCTGATCAACCAGCGGTGTTTCCCGGACGACTTCTCCAGCCCCGTTTCTCCCTTGGACAAGCTGTCCCATCTGACCATGCCTGCAAGCAAAGAGTATCCTTATGGAGACTACCCTCGCATTGAGTTTACAGGTACAGTGCCATTTCTGGAAAGGAGGAGGTAGAGTTAGGGCCCTTTCTGGCACGCAGGATCTGTATTATTTAAAAATTGAGCAAAACTTTTTGTTCATTTTAACAATTTGAATGTTTGCAACTCATAACAACACTGTATGCATATTTATGATAAAATGTGTCAAAAAGCTAAATTTAGAGTTTTACAGGAAATGGTTTTCTAATATTTGACCATGAGCAAGTATTTTTCCCAAGGTGATTTTCATAGATGTACGTAAAAACAATACTAACATATTGTAAAAAGTCATCTTCTGTTATGGATTTGCTCATACTCATTTTTATTTGAAGTTCGAAAAATCTGCCACAGGAGTCACAGATTCAGATGAATAATTATAGGTCAAGTAACTTATTAATGATAAACTTGGTATCAGAAATGTGTTGCTAGGTCATCCTTCTTGCTCAGAAATGCTTGAGGTCTGGAAATATCTTTGTGGGACCTTTGACAATCTAATGGAATATGTGTTGGCTGGCATGGGGTTCACTAATTTGATATGTATGTCATGTTTTCTTCTGGAATGTGAGTGTCCTGGTGTCCTGACCTATTGTTATTCAGATGAAGCTTAAGCTCTGATTGTGTTCATCCCTCCAATATGTGTTTGACATTCCAGAGTCTGACATGAACCTGCCAAGTGACGTCCCAATCAGTCCCAACATGATGATCACCAAGTCCATGAGCGACTCCACCATCCAATCTCACTCCAATGGGATGCTGAGTCACTCCGAAAGCACCTCCGACTTTGAGAGGAAGTCTTCCTCAGGCAACCCCCAGCCCCCACCTCTGCAGCGGACAGCCATCTCCGCCCTCGCCATCTCCGGCACCAACAATGATGATGAGGACTCCACCGTCTCCTCTCGCTCCTACGGCGTGGATTCCGGCATTAGCATGGACAGCCGACGCAGCACGGGAGTACGTTACACAAAGCCACAGCCACAGATGAAGAAGGCACTTTCTTCCGTTTCATCTGCTTTTTCGAGTTTCACGGACAAGCTGAAACTAAAGTCTGACGATGACATGTTGTCGGTTTCGGATGACCTTGAGACAATGTCAATAAAAACAGACATGTCATCTGATGATGAGTTTGAACATCTGACGTTTGAGGATTCAGAGGTGCCGGCATTCTGTCATGATCCCCCCTCGGATACTGCATCCACTACCGACACCTACAGCGACGTGGCTGATGACTCCTCCAGCGTCTACGCAGAGAGCTCATCTACACGGGGAAAGGAGATTGTGAGTTGTTTATCTTCTGGAGTTTCTTTACTTATTACATCAGTTATTACGTCAGTAGGCATTTCTTAGGAGTTGATGGATGTCGAAGTTGGAGCTGTAACTTTATTCACTCTGTGCATTGCATTATGTTTCTAGGATTCTCGCTGACTTGGTGGATGCATGTCATCGTATCCCAATTGCGTGGATCGATGCTCATGATGACAATCACTTGATTGTCTGGTCCAGACTCGATTATTTACAGACCGCAGTCATATAGCTGGAATATTGCTGGAATTGCAAATATCAAACAATCAAATAATCAACCAACCAACCAACCAATCAATCAAGGTTCTCTTAAAGGTCGTTCTGTTTTACATTGTTTACAGATATCTATAGTGCTGTTCAAGCTGGACACGGTGGAGGCGTTGATGACCAGTAGTGACAAGGGGATGACCGTGGCGGCACAGGTGTCGAAACTCCTCACCTGCCAGCCAGGCAACATCAGCGCTGAGGACTTCCACACAAAGTTCTCCAGTCAGAAAGGTATGTACTGATGGTGGTGGTCTTTTGCCACCTGTAGCTCACCTTACAGTTGTTATCACAAGGCTATTGATCACTATTGATCTTACTATCTGCAGCTCACCTTACAGTTGTTATCACAAGGCTATTGATGTTGTAGCTGACTATTGATCTTACTATCTGTAGCTCACCTTACAGTTGTTATCACAAAGCTATTGATGTTGTAGCTGACTATTGATCTTACTATCTGCAGCTCACCTTACAGTTGTTATCACAAGGCTATTGATGTTGTAGCTCACTATTGATCTTACTATCTGCAGCTCACCTTACAGTTGTTATCACAAGGCTATCGATGTTGTAGCTCAATATTGATTTTACTATCTGCAGCTCACCTTACAGTTGTTATCACAAGGCTATTGATGTTGTAGCTCACTATTGATCTTACTATCTGCAGCTCACCTTACAGTTGTTATCACAAGGCTATCGATGTTGTAGCTCAATATTGATTTTACTATCTGCAGCTCACCTTACAGTTGTTATCACAAGGCTATTGATCACTATTGATCTTACTATCTGTGGTTCACCTTACAGTTGTTATCACAAGGCTATTGATGTTGTAGCTCAGTATTGATCATACTATCTGCAGCTCACCTTACAGTTGTTATCACAAGGCTATTGATGTTGTAGCTGACTATTGATCATACTATCTGCAGCTCACCTTACAGTTGTTATCACAAAGCTATTGATGTTGTAGTTTCAATATTGATCTTACTATCTGCAGCTCACATTACAGTTGTTATCACAAGGCTATTGATGTTGTAGTTTCAATATTGATTTTACTATCTGCAGCTCACCTTACAGTTATTATCACAAGGCTATTGATCACTATTGATCTTACTATCTGCAGCTCACCTTACAGTTGTTATCACAAGGCTATCGATGTTGTAGCTCACTCTTGATCTTACTATCTGCAGCTCACCTTACAGTTGTTATCACAAGGCTATCGATGTTGTAGCTCAATATTGATTTTACTATCTGCAGCTCACCTTACAGTTGTTATCACAAGGCTATTGATGTTGTAGCTCACTATTGATCTTACTATCTGCAGCTCACCTTACAGTTGTTATCACAAGGCTATTGATGTTGTAGTTTCAATATTGATTTTACTATCTGCAGCTCACCTTACAGTTGTTATCACAAGGCTATTGATCACTATTGATCTTACTATCTGTGGTTCACCTTACAGTTGTTATCACAAGGCTATTGATGTTGTAGTTTCAATATTGATCTTACTATCTGCAGCTCACATTACAGTTGTTATCACAAGGCTATCGATGTTGTAGCTCACTATTGATCTTACTATCTGCAGCTCACCTTACAGTTGTTATCACAAGGCTATCGATGTTGTAGCTCACTCTTGATCTTACTATCTGCAGCTCACATTACAGTTGTTATCACAAGGCTATCGATGTTGTAGCTCACTATTGATCTTACTATCTGCAGCTCACCTTACAGTTGTTATCACAAGGCTATCGATGTTGTAGCTCACTCTTGATCTTACTATCTGCAGCTCACATTACAGTTGTTATCACAAGGCTATCGATGTTGTAGCTCACTATTGATCTTACTATCTGCAGCTCACATTACAGTTGTTATCACAAGGCTATCGATGTTGTAGCTCACTATTGATCTTACTATCTGCAGCTCACATTACAGTTGTTATCACAAGGCTATCGATGTTGTAGCTCACTATTGATCTTACTATCTGCAGCTCACCTTACAGTTATTATCACAAGGCTATCGATGTTGTAGCTCACTAGTCATAGCTCACCTGAAGTGTTACTGGTTGAGCCCCAATTATGTTTCTAAGTTTTTCAGCACCATACCCGTGCTCGTTGGTTTCATGTGTGGTTAACATTAGATGTAACTGTTTATTAGCTGATTTCTGTTCTTGCCTTCCGTTACTCACATTTGGTGATTTAGATTTTGTTGAATTTTGAACTTACCTGTAGCTTTCCTTGGCTCTTACCTGTAGCTTTCCTTGGCTCTTACCCTCAGCTTTTCTTGGCTCTCCCCTGTAGCTTTCCTTGGCTCTTACTTGTAGCTTTTCTTAGCTCTCACCTGTAGCTTTACTTGGCTCTCACCTGTAGCTTCCTTGGCTCTTACTTGTAGCTTTTCCTAGCTCTTACCTGTAGCTTGCCTTGGCTCTTACCTGTAGCTTTTCTTGGCTCTTACCTGTAGCTTTCCTTGGCTCTTACCTGTAGCTTTCCTTGGCTCTCACCTGTAGATTTCCTTGGCTCTTACTTGTAGCTTTCCTTGGCTCTTACCTGTAGCTTTCCTTAGCTCTTGCTAATGAAAGGAAACCCTGACTCTTACCATTCTCCAAGTTGTTGCTTACTAGGTAACAATAATTTCAAAAGAATAGTTTTTAGATAACTACCAAGAATTATTTTCCTGCAGGATTCTTTCAAGACAACACCCTGTCTCCGAGTCACCCGAAGACGTTTCCATACACCATGCAGTACCGAGCCGACACAACGACAACTCCAAACACTGCTCTTCTCACTGTGAGGAGCCATGACTCCAGCCTCAGTTTCAAAATGTCCAGTCTCTTGTCGCTATCGGAGTTCATCGAGGATGAGAAGACGTCTGAGCCGATACCGATGTTGGTGGACGTCGACAACCTACTCCTCATTCTAGAGGTGAGTGTATAGTCTGTGATTGGACAGTCACTCAACTAGGAGCTCATCCCGTCCTTAGGTCAGCTATAGCCATTATGTTTTTTCAGAATAGGTGAATAACAGGATTGGGTGGTCAGGCTGGCTGACTTGGTTGATGCATGTCATCTTGTCCCAATTGCGTGGATCGATGCTCATGATGTCAAACACTGGATTGCCTTGTCCAGACTTAATTATTTACAGATAGCCAAACCTTGTACCAGGGAAAACCAGTTTGTTGTTGCTTTCACTTTTGTCCCATCTTCAGGGGTAAGCAGCTAGTTCACAAGTCATTTTAGACTTGTAGTTCACAGGCCTCAGTTTACCTACATAAAACATGCACCAGTGCAACCTGTTATTGAAAAATGCACCCTTTTATTTATGTCTTCATGCATAAAGTACCTGTGAAGATCCGAGTTAGAATAGGTCTTGCACACTTTTATATATGTCTACATGCACCAAGTACCTGTGAAGATCTTGGTTAGAATAGGTCTTCAGCAAACCCTAAACGACTATGCTTGTCGTTAGAGGTGACTAACAGGATTGGGTGGTCATGCTCGCTGACATGGTTGATGCGCAACTAACAAAAAAACAAACGCCAAGCGAGGGTAATTTAAAAAAAAAAAATTTAACATCCATCTTTGAACATGTTCAGTACCTCTCAGGTATTTATCATACTACATCATTAATCCCAGTGCTATGTGTAGTTTGTCATGCTTTCTTGGGCTTGACATCATCAAACTGTGGGCACTTCAAGATTATTTACACATGTTGCTATTACGTTATATTGATTTATGTGACACTGGCACCAGACCAGCCAATGTTTCAACTTTCATAAATATGTGGGACCAGGGTGGGGCCCATCTTCCTGAGGCAAGGGATATAACTGACCATAAAAGTCCACTTTCCACCCTTGCCTAACCTGGCTGTAATTATGGAGTTATGTTTTGGCTGTACTAACGAGTTCATGCATAGACCAATCAAAGTCGCATAACAAAATCGACATCCGTCATTCGTGCAGATTTCGGTTAATTGACGGATTTGCAAAGCATCTGTACCGCCAACTCGGCGTCAACGGATAGTTCCCAAATCTTTGATGCACTTCGCAAAGTAAGAACCTTTTTATTACAATATAGCTTTTGATTATCTTGCCTTGGGAAGATGGGTGCAGCCTGGTTTGTTATGTGCAACTTGGTTTTCATGTTGACATTAACCTGCAGCAGGTAAATCAAGCTCCCTAACTCAGGCCCTGGTTTATGTTAGATACTGTAAATCTTTAAAATAATGTTTCCAAATTAATACGATTGCTGAAGACTAGCCAAAAATGTGACTCAATATTAGTGCGACTGCCCACTGTTGGTATATCTCCTGTCCAAAGTGTGCTGTGAGGCCGTCTTGTTGTCGATAGTTATTTTGGAGACATCAATGCAAAGTTTAAGTAATGCGAGCAAAGACCACTCACATTTTTCACATTTAATTCATGCTCACATTAATTTCAAGATTTACGGTACTTAATTTAGGTGTAAACACTAGGGGTGAAATGATACAGCAAGGTTTACAATACATATCTTGATACACATATTTACATCAAATCGCATGGAAACTTCTGGACAACAAATATTTCAGAGCAGGTTCAAAAGGAAAACCTAACTGTTGACACATGTTCATCGCAGCTTTTTTTTGTAGTGAATTTGAAATGCTAATAACAACATATTTTGCTATATCTGACTGACAAAAATGTCAGGGATCATTAAACGAGTAGTAAGTAGTTTTTTTCAGCAAGTATATCGTCTTTTATCGATACAGAAAAAATGGTATCGTGTATCGTCACATGAAAACTCACGATGCACCAGTGCAACGATGTATCGTTTCACACCTAGTAGTGAGTGAGTGAGTGAGTTTGATTTTACGCCGCTTTTAGCAATATTCCAGCAATATCACGGCGGGGGACACCAGAAATGGGCTTCACACATTGTACCCATGTCGGGAATCGAACCCGGGTCTTCGGCGTGACGAGCGAACGCTTTAACCACTAGGCTACCCGACCGCCACTTTCACACCTAGTAAACACCACTGGTCATCCAGCTGGTCCACGACTCATTTCAGACTAGTAGTTTGTGTTATAGAAACAGATTCGGGGAGAAGACACTGGTACTTCTTGATCTTACACTTGTCCCAGACTAGCAGAACAGTGGCCCTGTGTATTCCTGATGTTCCATGTATGTAATGTGTGCTACGTATCCACTCTTCAGGAGGACCGGCCATCCAGCAACCCCGTGTCACCAGGAGCGATGCCCATCGACATGCAGATACACAAGCTGACGATCAGGAGGGGGTCAGATGGCGTCTTCCACTTATCAGGTGACTGTCGTCATTACCCAACCCTCAGACCCGTGAAGATCTGGCGCAGAACCTTCAGTAACCCATAAAAGGCGACTATGCTTGTCGTAAGAGGCGACTAACGGGATCGGGTGGTCAGGCTCACTGACTTGGTTGATGCATGTCATCGTATCCCAATTGAATGGATCTTTGCTCATTATGTCAAACACCGGATTGTCTGTCCAGACTCGATTATTTACAAACCGCCGTCTTATTGCTCGAATATTGTCTTGAGATCTGTGCCTTGCAGATAACCAGGTTTAATTGAATAAAGCTACAAAACCCTTTCCATTTCCAATAGAAATCCCTGCATAAAGCAGAGTGGATTGTACGATTCCGTTTTGAATCTCTTTCATTATATTATTGGGGAATAATTCAAGTGGAAAGAGTTGAAAGAGCTCTCTTGTGTTGAATGATTGTCGAATTGTGCACGTCAAAAGGTGCGAAAATGTTTTCTACAGTTTTATGATTTCCATGACATTTGTCCGAACGTGTTTCAGGAGGGTCAATAGAGTCAGCACCCCTGGGAATGCAGTCACCTCAGCCGATAGCAGCACTCAAGGGAAATAACTCTCCATCTCACATATCTGATACATCGCCAGGCAGAGAATCAGAAGAAACGTCCACTCCTGTGTTACACCTGGAACAATTTCGACAGGTGCAGATGGACAACATGGAGCTGCGTCGACAAATACAGGAGTACCAAGCACTGCAGAAGACAACGGACAAACACCTCGCCCAGTTGAGAGCAGGCATGGAGTTCATGGAGAAACTCACCAGTGAAAATGAAGCTTTGAAACAGAAACTATCTGAACGTGATCTCAGCAAGGCAGAGGTATCATCGAATACGTACGAGATGGAGAACTTGCAGCTGCAGCAGAAGGTGACGCGTCTGGAAGAAGAGATCGTCAACATGGCGTGTGAGCGGGATTCGCTGTTTGCCACTCTCAAACTGCTACAAGATGATCTCATGGCCTCCGAGAAACGACATCGAAGCCACACGACAGCGTCATAGTTATGTGTATCTTGTATGAATGAGGTCTAGATGATGGTTGAACTTGTGAGTCTGAGCTTGGATGACACAGCGTGTCTGATTATGTTCATGTGGATATTACACCAGAAGTTGTAAGATAGAATCTGATGATATCAGATGTTTACCATAAGGGTTACATTATGATAACATTACAATCTACAGCTTAGAGAACAGTGAAACTTCCCCGCTCGTCAATCCCAGCGAAAATTCTTGTTGAAACTGTCGTCTAATATTGTCATGTCAAAATATTCAAAGCGATTTAAAGCGATATATTCATTAGACTAACCAATGTGTACGAGAAGACGATGCTTCACTGTGTATGAAATATGAAATAGTCTGTGCCTTTAATCAAAAGGCTGAATCAGGCCCGGCCTTGTTTTTCTGAAATAGTAAAATATATGTGACATAATGGCAGAACTGTAGGTCAGTAGTGTTAAGATTTGGGGCACAGACTGTTTTGAGAATTAGACTACTGTATGTTATAATAGAAATCACATATTCATTAATCAGTAGGTACGCATCACGATACGTACAATACTTACCAGTGTATCCCATCGTTAGCTACATATCACGATACATAAAATACTGGTATCATATCGGTAGGTACGTATCACGATACATTACAACACTGTATCATTAGAGTAGTCAAGTATCCATGTAGAAGATTTGTCCAGAATTTGTTCATCCGAGCTGCCATAGATCACCAGATATCTGCTTTCTCGAAATCAGGAGAGACATCCAAAATGTTCCGAATATTCCGAAGTCAGTAGTGGAGAACGATTGCTGTGATTCAGGTTTATCTTTCAACATCAGCATCAGGTGGTTTGCAGGTATTCGCGGCATCTGTAACGGGAGTAGCATAGGTGATTTAACAGTGCAATGAAATAAAATCTTCGCGACAGATACGATTCACAAGTGTGGTCTGTCATCACATCAAGGACACTGCTTCATCAGCCAATGAACAATTTGTGAAGCCCAACTGATATATTTTAGTTTTTTTACTTCAAGCAGCAATTCCATAGTCTGTCTCCCACTCAGCAGATGGGTTTGTGGAAGAGTTGCCTGTGTAGGTCTAAGTACAGAATATCAACAATGAGACAGTGAGATATCTTTTCAGGAGGAGTATCAGTCATGGAATCTGTGAACCGTGAACTACATTGACACTTCATCCAGTCCCTGGTTTGGCAACAGTTCCACTGAAGCCCTCCTTGGCCTTTCCTCAAAAAACTGGCTTACCGTATTCGACGTAATAAGCGCCCGCTCTAATAAGGTATAGTTAGGTGGGAACTGTATATAGGAGGCCTGACTCATTGGACTATGTCGGTTATCTTCAAAGGGCCTGTTGACACGACACTGCTCCATCAGGAGATATTTGATTGTTATTAAGCATTGAAAACTGTATTTTTATTATAATTGCCAGTCTTGTTTAAAAAAATGTGCTAGAAAACATTTCCACTGACCCATTTACAAGTCATGTTTTAATTCCATTGGATTAAATTAAAGTGTAAAAGTTCATTCGTGGCTAAATACTATGTTTTTCTTCTTGAGGTGAAAAATAAGAACATATTTAAGTTTTCCTATTTACAATGTGAGATGAGCATACTATTTAGCCTCTACTGTATATATTCTATTTATGATCAATTCTGTTTAGTATCTAACAGTACACTGTTGATGTATTCTCAGTGTTCAGGTGGATGACCACGATGTCATCATTCATCGTCTGATGACATCCTTGTTTCAGGAGTGATGTCATTTCATTGCTAGGCTTAAACAAATAATAGAATTGGTTCTCAGGCAATGGTTTTGAAGTTATTGTGCAGGTGGGCAGTGGTGTTTTTTGGGAGGTTGTTCAAGCTAGTTTGGCACCAAATTTTGTTTACAATAATTTCGGGGAAATCATGTTGTTTTTAAGTATTGTATCATATAACTTCAGGGTCGTGTGTTCGAGACGCGGAATATTTAATGTTTTGGGTTGGGTTTTTTAAAATGGAAATAAAAACAAAGCTTGCAGCAGATTTTATGATGATGTGGGCGTGCCTGAAAACCAAGACTAATATATATTTTTTTAGCCTTAGTGACCTTTGTTATCAGTACTAGCTAGTGTGTGGTAATGAGTGTAGCTGTTTGACATGTCCCATGTGATTAATACACCGGTAGATTGTCCACACCACGAGACAAATGGATGTTCCACTTCACAGCTATGCAAGTCTCAGTAGAAGATGTAGGCAGTCAGGTAGTGTAACTTGTTTTAGTAAACTGGAAATTCTTTGTGACTGCAGAATTGAAAACTATCAAAATTTTGTTAGGAGAATTGAGCAACTTTTGTCACTGGTGTCCTTCTGTTATTAACGGAAAAGAGTTTGAATTGTTTGATAGGCATAACTTAGACGTTGACAGATGACAAAGTAGAGACAGTTGATGGATAACAACTTCTTTATTTTACTGTATGGCAACGTTTTGGTAGAGATCGTTGTCAGGCAAGGTGAAGAGTTTGAAGTGTTTGATAGGCATTTTTTAGAAGTTTTCGGATGACGAAGTAGACACAAGGTATGGATAACGACACCTTTATTTTACTGTAATGGCGATGTGTCGGTGAAGATCCTACCGTTTGGTGCTCATCGTCATGGTCCAATGGTTAAGGCTCTGCATTTCCAGCCCTCAGCATGTTGGGTTTGAACCCTGAATCACCTTGATTATGGTTCCTGGGTTTGCTGTGTGCTGTGTCTGAGTGGAAATTCATGTTCAACTGCAGCATGGTGTCTCAGTGGGCTAGCACTATATTAAACATCGGCGTAACTCCGGACTAGTTCAAGCAGCCACACACACACCTACATGCCTGTCGCTATGTAAGTGCAATGATTTTAAACGCGACATTAAACCACATTTATCTCACCTCTGTGTAAAAGGTTGCTCAGTTTCCTATAAAAGTTTTGAAAGAGTTTTTCAATTCTGCAACGCTTGTGTTTTTTTCCCATATAGAAGTGTATCGCGTCCTGCACAATTGCCTCCCATTATTTACAGCTGTCAGTATTGTCCAGCTGATCGGATCCTCATGCTCAGATTCATATCCCAGTGCCACGCCTCTTTTTTGTTGAAGTTTAAATTATGATTTATATATTTACTTTTTGTATAGTCTTTACTTTTTGTCTGTAGCTATATGATGCATGTCTTCCCTTAAGGAACACTGACATAATTGTATCTTTTTTATTGAAGTGGGAGTGAAGGTTTTAGTGCCATACATGTGTATCAGCGTAATGTGTGTACCACCTTATAAGTGTCTACGTTATTGTTGAGTGGTTTGCCATGGTATTTACGGTAGTATAAGTAAAATGTGTAAAAGTTGATGAAATTGAAAACAGTATAGCGTACTTGTATACCACATTTGTAGAAATAAACATCATGGTACTTAATTGTGTGGTATAGGTGAGATGTTTGTTGTGAGTACACTGTCTTGTATGTAGATCAGATACCGTGAATCATGAAATTATTGCGTCACCAAATTAGTAATTGCCGATCTCTAATCAAAAGAAGTTATATAGGACCACCCGATTCTTTCATATAACTATAGTCTGTTATGCAATTACACAGGGTGGTTTTAACTCTGGTGTTATGAAAGGATCAAGAGGTCCTTGACTTCTTTTGTGTAGTATGCATGATGAAATTAAGGGTAAAAATATTATGATCTTGGTTCTCGGGCACCGCCCGCATCATCACAAAGTTTGCCGCACGTTTCGTTTTTATTTCCTTTTTTGAAAAAAAAAAAAAATTTCCTTAAATATTCTAAGTCAAACAGTAGTCAAATACTGTATTTTACTCATCAAGGAATACATTTATGTCGGGAGGCCCTTTCCCAGGTTGATTGTACACAACTTTTTATTTGGTTACACAACTTTTTATTGGTTACATACTAGTTTGAACAACAACCCCCTCCCCCACACACAAAAAAAGACACCGCCCGCCTACACTATATTTTCAAAAACCATTGCCTGAGAACCAGTTCTTTTTTTTATTTAGCCTATTGTGTTTCCCTACCTTTGAAATCTAGACCCTAGTCAGCAAGCAACAACACCAAGGCGGATGTGATATGGTACAGTGTTAAGCAGTTTCATATCCCTCATGCTCTTCACAAGCTCAACTTCACCCTCTTCAGTTGTGATCAAGACAGGATATTCCAAATGAGATAGGTCAGGTCAAAGACTGTAGAAGGCTCCACGTGTTGTTAGCACATGGTGTATTCATCATAACTGCTGTTACTGTACAAGGCCCAGTTCTACAAAGCGATCTTAGCGCTAAGTCGATCGTAACACTGACTTACGACGGTTGTGGCACTAAGATCGCTTTGTGGAACGGGGCCCTGGAAACAGCAGTCTATGAAAAAACAACCAGAACTTGGCTGTTGGCATCAAGTTTGGTACTGTTCAGTGTTATGAACTTTTAGTGGATAAAGTTGCACTCTGTTTTGTTTGTAATTTTATGATTATTTGACAAAGTTGCCCTGAACTAAGATGCCTCCATTAACGGTTGGTGATGGTCAGAACAGTGTGATCAATTTGCAGCTTGTGTAAACAAACCGACCACACTTGACACTAAATCAAGAACATTGTTTATTGGGAGATTGGTATGTATGTCATTGTGTCTGTGTACAGCGAACCTGACACGACTATGAATTCCAATAATTGAGATATAAAATTATGCCACTCTTGTCATGGAGAACTTGCATATTTTTTAATAATTTCATGCTCACGTTAATTTCATGATTTACGGTAATTAGTGATATGTGTTCTAGATCACAGTGTAGATGGTAAACTGAGCTCATGTGAATATACTGTGAAAATATTGCCCAGGTTGTGGAGATCACAGTGACCATCTTGGTTGACGTGGAGGGCAGATGGTTCTTCTGGACACAAAGACTCTAACCCTGGCAATTTGTTGAACTGAGACAGTAGAGGTATGTTGTTAGCATCTCTGAACGTAAAACATCAACACCAGTGAATAATGTCTTGATTCTCTGACAAAACAGATTTCACTGGCCAAAACAGGGGTGAAAAATTATACGAATGGATCACTGAAAGTCAGTTCAGACACCAGATGTTAGCGTGAAGGGTGGAATGAATAGAGTGCTGCTGTTTCCTGGTTCTGGCAGACAAGACAGATAGTTGAGAGGTATACAGTACATGTGACACATGATCTCCCTTGGGTGGAAATTAGAACTGTGACAGTTAAATTCATCCAAAAATGAAGATTTATTTGCATAATATATCTGAGATGTTGATAATTTTATTTTGTACGTTTCCCTGTATTGTGTATAGCAGCCCCTTCCTTTCCCATGGACACAGCTAGCTGCTGTCATAGAACATCAAGTGTGAATCCAATCTGATGCACAATCGGATTAACTTTACCTTTAGGAAAGTGCTTCAGAGTTAGTTGAAAATCATTGTTCGTTCTTGGCCGATGCGACGTCAAATTTGAACTCTCTCACTCACTCTCTGAATAGAAAATTTGTGAAAGAGTAAAGTTGTTAATATTTATATTAGCTTTTCAGACCGTCTCGCTTTCATATACACTGGCCCAGACTATTTTTTTCTTGTATCTGTACAATAGACCAGTGTGAAAACGTGACTAGTGTTTCCTTGTACCTGAACAATAGACCATGTGAAAACGTGACTAGTGTTTCCTTGTACCTGTAAAATAGACCAGTGTGTGAAAACTGAGTAGTGTTTCCTTGTACCTGTACGATAGACCATGTGAAAACCTGAGTAGTGTTTCCTTGTATCTGTACAATAGACCAGTGTGAAAACCTGAGTAGTGTTTCCATGTACCTGTACAATAGACCAGTGTGAAAACCTGAGTAGTGTTTCCTTGTACCTGTACAATAGACCAGTGTGAAAACCTGAGTAGTGTTTCCATGTATCTGTACAATAGACCAGCGTGAAAACCTGAGTAGTGTTTCCATGTATCTGTACAATAGACCAGTGTGAAAACCTGAGTAGTGTTTCCATGTATCTGTACAATAGACCAGTGTGAAAACCTGAGTAGTGTTTCCTTGTACCTGTACAATAGACCATGTGAAAACCTGAGTAGTGTTTCCTTGTATCTGTACAATAGACCATCTGAAAACCTGAGTAGTGTTTCCATGTATCTGTACAATAGACCATCTGAAAACCTGAGTAGTGTTTCCTTGTATCTGTACAATAGACCAGCGTGAAAACCTGACTAGTGTTTCCTTGAAAACCTGACTAGCTTCTTGTACCTGTACAATGGACGAGTGTGGGAAAACCTGGGTGCCATTTCATGAAAGCCTCTTAACACTTTGACCTCCTAAACCACGTCGTAAACCACGTCATAAATTTTAAGCCCGTTTTACAAAGTCCTCTTAGTTTACACAATGTCGTAAAATCACCCTTAATCTACCACAGCCCAAAGTCCTAGTTTAAGATTTGACTTGACAACGTAGTTGAGCTGCTTTCCTGAAACGGTGATAAGGAGATTCTTAAGAGGGTCGTAAACTGTGTCGTAGCGGTTACGAGGTTACGAGGTCGTAGCGCTCAGAGGCTTTCGTGAAACGGTGAACCCATGCTCCAGGATTTCTCTGGACGCTGGATAATTTTATTCACGGGTCTGTGAACCTGTCCGTGTCAATTCTACATGTGTGTTAATCAGTCAACAGCAATAATTATACCAAGTTATAGCTATGTCTCCTGCATTAAGATATTTTTCTCTCAGTATGAGGGTTTTGTTACATGGGAGTTTAAAAATGATTTTTTAACAAAAACAATTTTCATTAGCGTATTTAGCATTGATGAAGTTATGATGTAATGAATTTGTCAAGACATTAATGTTTGTGTTTGTTTGAAAGTTTTGTTTGTGTTCGAGTCTCACATGCTGTCGATGAATTTCATGTAACAAATCTGACCGATGATATATGCCAAACAATTATGTACTTTTGATATGCATCAATGATTTCGTAGTAACATGCTTAAGTGCTTTCATCACCATTCATTCTCTCATGTTTTGTCTGTTAACATATATGTGCATATCAGTGCCCATGTTTCCAGGGCTGTGAAGACAGTGACGTTGGCATGGACAAATTGTGGGACCAGTGCCAAGGGAGGCAACTCTGTCATCTAACTACTATATATGACGTGGTTTGTCTGTAGTGTAGGGCAGCCATCTGTCGGGTGTGATATGTGTATTGTACAGTAGGCCTTTTGTTATTAACATGAGTGAGTGAGTGAGTTCGGTTTTACGCCGCTTTTAGCAATATTCCAGCAATATCACCAGATATACCAGAAATGGGCTTCACACATTGTACCCATGTCGTGAATCGAACCCGGGTCTTCGGCGTGACGAGCGAACGCTTTAACCACTAGGCTACCCGACCCCCCCTTGTTATTAACATGTGACGTTGGGAGTACAATAATAGATTTCATGAATGTACTGCTGGGAGAAATAAGGGTTCATACACGGGGTGGGGGTGAAATGGCGTTTAACGTTGCGTTCAATATGTTTCACTTTTATAGAGATGTGTATGTGTCTGTCTGTGTTTGTGTGGGGGGCTGCTTGTACTAATCCGGACCATCCCAGAGTTAAAATGAATACCCACCGAAACAGTAAACTGTCACCAAGTCGACCAGTCCTTACCATTCGTCACCACTCGCCCCTTTCCGTTACCTGCAAGAAGACTCGTCCCCCTATCGATGAATGTTATGTGCGAAAATACGACAAACCAATCAGAATGCGCATATGATTTCAAGTTCTTCGTCAAAGAATCCCTCAGAAATAATTTTTGATTTAACACGTCTTGCATCTAAAAATATACGTGGATCGATGCTCATGATGTCCATCACTGGATTGTCTGGTCCAGACTGGGTTATTTATAGGCCGCCATCATATAGCTGGAATATTGCTGAGTGCGACATTAAACACTCACTCACTCACTCACTCACTCACTCACTCACTCAATCGTTCACCTTGTTAAATCCATGGGGTACTTCATGTATAAATTAGTCAATGATGGTCTTGCTCCGTTTGCTGGGGTTTGTTTGAGGTGTAACTTTAACATCATATGGAGATGGTGAATAGTATTTATTACTGTTATCTGGTAAATGGCACGTGACTTTAATGTAGGGTAATCTTTCAAGTTCAATATTTAGAGTAAAACTTTTTTTTATCCGTTATGATGGCTATGAATTGGCTACGATAGATGAACAGTCGACACACATGATTCTCCCTTATGTTGAGAACTTTTCACCAGCAAGTACTTGATACAAACAAGGTAAGCTGGTTGCAATGTGAAGGCTAAAAGTATCATCAAAGAAACAAATAGTTTCAGGCTGCTTCAACCAATGTCAGTTTATTGTGATATCTACAAAGAGCTTGCATTTGTAAGACAGATTTGTGTCCATGAAATTGCAAAATGTATGGAGATGAATGTTACAGTCAGGGGCAAATGTAGAGCAACATTTTTATGAAGCGAGCCCTACATCATGTCTGGTGCTTCAGGAGGCTTGGTCATTCTCATTGGCAGGCATGACCTCTGTCAGAGATGACCTGTATCTGCATAGGAAGCAGAGTTGAATAACACACCAAAAGTTGCTGTGCTGAGTTATCTCCCTTTGTTGCCAGGATTTTGTGGTTGAGGGTTTGAATACAAGATTCACGTCAAATATGATCTATGGTTTAGTCAAAATATATCTGTTCTTATGGGTGTCACTACAGTGAAAAAAATCCTGTCTCCCTCGTATGCAGAGTCCCGCACCTAACCCCCTTTAAAAACCAAATGTAGTATGATGTAGGGAGTAAAATTGTCTGAGAGAAGATTTTGATAGTTTAGACTCCTCCCTTTTAAGAATGCTGGATCTGCCCTTGTCCCCTCAGGCTTGCCTGGCAGAGTGATCTCTGATATGACAGTCGTGATATGACTGAAGTACTGTTTAAATCTGCGTTAAACCAAACAGGGGATTCAGGGTTAGAATAGATCCCCAGCAACCTGCTTGTAGTTGGGTGGTTTGTTGTTTAACGCCGCACTCAGCAATATTCCAGCTATATGACGGCGGTCTGTAAATAATCGAGTCTGGACCAGACAATCCAGTGATTAATATCATGAACATTGATCCTCGCAATTGGGATCGATGACATGTATTAACCAAGCCAGCGAGCCTGACCACCCGATCCTGTGAGTCGCCTTTTACGACAAGCATAAACTGGTTGTAAGAGGCGACCAAATGGATCAGGTGATCAGGCTCGCTGGCTTGGTTTGATTGCATGACAACGGACCCCAACGGCATGGATCATGCACACAGTATCAATCACTGGATCATCTCGTCCAGCCTGAATTATTTTCAGTCCAAATATTGCTGAGAGAGGGGCATTAAACAAATACACACACTCTAAGAAATTTAATAATTCAATGTTCACCGTGAGATCTTTAAGTCGATTGAACAAGAGGGATGGTCCTTTGGTTGAGGTGTTCTTTTGTCTCACCAGAAGTCTGGTACAGAATGACTATTGCCCTTGTTTTCTGTTGGGTTTTGTTTTCTTTGAACTTTGTTATAATCCTCTGTATATATGACAGTAACCATATCAGCCCACTCAGGGTTGAACTTAGGTATGTTATCATATGGTTTTGTTTCTTTTTTCAGTGATTTGAATTGTTGCTTTTCTAACGGAATATATCATGTTTGTTTTTGTTGCTATTATATGTATGTGGTTTTACATATTCCTTTGTCTTTTCAGAATTTACCTTTTTGCCTAAATCTTTAGCATATCTGATTTGAAGATTTTAATAATGTCAATCATGGTCTTTATTAGATGGGACGGTGTCATTGGTGGATGAAAAGACATAAATAATATGAGCATCATCACAAGAAATTAGTTTTTTGTATTTATTTGCTCAACCGGACATGATGCACAAACTAAGATGACTGTCTGTATTCAGACCATTCCTCTTAGGTAATAAGTTAGCTGGAAAACAAAAGTCCAGTTTCCTATGTTTGAAACGATAGAGTAGGTGGATCTGTTATTTGTTTTCAGTAATTATTAGTAATGGTTTGATACTCCGATATATATTTTCATCCATTGCTCCATACTTGACACTGACAACTGTAAATCATTATTGTGCCAGGTCTTTGGACATCCTGTCCAAAAAGGATGGCTAACGCACCACGGATAGGAGCACATTCAAGTACCGTGATAGGTACTGGATCGCACAGTTGGTGTATCGACCCAGCCCTAGTTAATATCATAGTTGACCATGATAGTTTAACGTCTTATTCAGTCCCACAATGGGAATACATAGCACAAAGGTCGGAGAGGTTTGTGAACCCAAAGGATAATTGATATCTGTAAGAGAAGGCAGACTTCGACTTTGTTTCTTGTAACCCTGACAGCTTGAAAGCCATGTCTGTTGCAGGTTCATGAAGTGTCTTCTCTTGTCTAGAACAGTACAGGAACTACCACTACTGCATCAACCAAGTGTTATACATGTATAGTTCACAGTGACAAACTCGCTGTAGTCGTCCTGTACGTGATCCTTCACGAGAGACTGACGTATATAAATCCCCATTTTGCTCCAACTGTCTAGAGACTATGTAGGTAGCCAGACTTGCATGCTTCCCAGTTCATTCTGAAGGGTAGATTTCTGTACTTTCACTTGATGTTACAGAGAAAAATGAGATATTTTGTGAGACATGTTTATTTACCAGGACTTCATCCTAAATTGTGTCTATGAATACATATCGTGATGTGTGCTTAGGAATGCTAGCCATTGTTGATTACAGAGTAAGCCAGTATGTAGATGTATTCATTGTCTCAAGGTGCGAATAGCTTCCTGAGTGTACTCATGTCAAGCATTAGATGGGGCTGTAGATCTGTGTGCATCACAGTAGTGTCTGGTAGGATGTGTTACCGGTTAGCCTACACAATGTGTGCAGGCACTGAGACTATAGGCTACTCCTCTTATAATGTAGTGCATGCCTGTACAATAATTGAGTATGTTGACAGATATTGAAGGACTGAAGACGATGAACCCTCATCCTCTTTCTA